CAAATCTCTGTTTCAAAACAAACAAACAAACAAATAAACAAACAAACAAACCTCTAAAGCTAGGTAAGGCAATGAGGATGAGCAGCAGAGGAAGGATTAAAGTGTGTTAGGCAAATGGAAGCTACAGGATTTGGTTCTGGATAGGAGTTAAGGATGATACCCATTATAATCAATATTGGCCAATGAGTTAGCCAGTTAATATAGCCAACTGGGGTAGGTCACCTAGCACATGGATATGAAGAAGAAGTTAGCGATTACTAGAACTGATTGAATTCACCTGACAAGAGGCTTATCAGAGAGTCACCATTATCCATCTGTAGGTCCAAGAAGCAGTCTCAAGGCACTCAAGTTCCTGTTCTTTTCGAGGCTAAGATGTGAAAACCGATTGTAAAGGTGACACTTTTTAAGGAAAAACTAGCAGAATATTTCCCACATTTCATACATATCTCTATTGCCTTCAAAGGATATTAAAACCCAATACTGGGTAAGAGAGTTTGGTTTCCTGCGTAGGTGCACACCTCTGCACGTGGCTGTGCATTTTCTGTGGAAGCTAAGCAATTAGTCTTAGAATCTCTTTGGTTGTCAAGGGATGTACTTTTTTTTTGCTGATCTGAAAATATGTTTCCTTCTACAGGAGTATTTTCCATTTTTTTTGAAGTTTTAAGTTAATTTTAATATATTTTCCTTTTATTAATTAATTCATGAAATAATTATTTACTACTTACCATGTTCCAGCCTCTGTGCTAGGTACTAGTAAGACATTGATGAATAAAATGAACACAATCCTTTTCCTTAGGGAATTTATACATATAAACATTTAACTCTACAAAGATTAAACGTGTAATTATATAAAGCTTTACAATTACACATATAATAATATGAAGATTTGTAATTATATAGCCAGGCATGGTGACTTGCACCTGTAGTCCTACCTACTTGGGAGGCTGAAGTGGGAGGATCACCTGAGCCCATGAGGTCAAGGCTGCAGTACGTTATGCTCATGCCTGTGAGTAATCACTGCTCTCCAGCCTGGGCAACATAGTGAGATCCTATCTTTTAAAAATAAATAAATAAATATTTTAAATTTTATAACTGTCATTGATAAAACCTGTAAAGAAAAAAATATATAATATGTTGGGGGTTTATCCTGATCTGGGGAGTGGGATAGAGAAGATTTCCTGGGGAACTGACATTTAAGTTGGGACTTGATCTATAGAGGGAGTTGGAGGGAGCCAAATAAATAGGAATGAGGGGATAAGGGGCTATAAAGTACATCCAAAGGGATTTTAAAGGAAGCGATGGTACAAGTTTTCACTTTGGAGAGCCATAGGAAGATTTGTGCAAGAAGAGATGGAAACTAAAGCAACAACAGTAGTATATTTATGGCTTTGTAATCAAAGTTGATGATATTGGATTTCACTGTAAGAGAAATGATAAGGATTTGAAGAATTTTAAGCTGGAAAGTGAAATGGGTAGATCTGTGTTTTCAGCAACCTTTCAGGCTGACTGTTCTGTGGAGAATGGATAACAAGGAAGCAAACTGGAAACAGGGTTACCTCTTAGGGGATGATGATGCCTTGAATTCAAAAGTGGAAATGGGTGTGGAGATAAGTGAATGGATTTAAGAAACATTTGAGAGGTAGAAAGAGGTAGAATTGATAGAACCTGGTGATTAATTGAAGAGCCCGTATAAACCTAGGGTGCGATGTGGTCTGGTTTTAGCACAGCATTACATCAAAATAAATACTGTTTAAGCAGAAATACATAATTGAAAGCATTTCAGAGATTTAGGCTCTTGAGGAAACAGCAAATGCCTTGTTGGTATTATTATTTTTCTTTTTGATTTTTTGAGACAGGGTCTCATTCTCTTACCCAGGTTGGAGTGTAATGGCATGATCGTGGCTCACTGCAGCCTCAACCTCCCAGGCTCTGGTGATTCTCTCACCTCAGTCTCCTGAGTAGCTGGGACTACAGGTGCATGCCACTATGCCTGGATAATTTTTTTGTTTGTTTTTTGTTTTTTTTAGAAATGGGGTTTCACCATGTTGGCCAGGCTGGTCTTGAACTGCTGGGCTCAAGTGATCCACCTGCCTCAGCCTCTCAAAGTGCTGTGATTACAGGCTTGAGCCACCATGCCCTGCGGGTGGTATTATTTTTAATGCACAGCGAAACTTTTTTAAAGAATCTTCTTTGGCCATCTCTCTCATTCTCAATGCCTTTCATATACTTAGGAAGAAGCTAAAATACAAAACTCTCCCCTCCTTTCCTATGTGTGTTCTCAAACATTCCCTTGTATCCATCTGAAGCTCCTCATTCCTCAGCATTCTGCTCCTCATTCTACCTCAGCTCTTCATGATCAGGGTTTATCTAACCTTTCTGGCTTCTTAAAGCCTTCTCTCTTTGCTCAGTGTTCAGACTTTGCTCAAGAGAGAAGAGCTCCAAAACCAGTTCAGCAAGCAACAGGAGCATGGAGAGAGATTGCAGATATCTGACTGTTCTTGTCATTGTTTCTCTGCCACAGTTAAATGTGTTCTATGAAGAAGAGAAGTGGATATGTTCTAGCTTTGAGCAAATGAGTAGATGAGGGTCCATTTGTGGAGACAGGAAACATAGGAAAAGTGTTTTTGCGGAAAACTTGAGATCACGTAAACGTTTCGAGTCTAGGCTGCCTTTTAGATGGTCTAGAGACATTGTCCGGAGAATTGTGTGCCTGGAACCGTCTTGTTCTGGAGTGTGAGGCACTTGTTAAATTCTCAGGAATTGTAAACATGGGCATTGTTAAAAAGTGACTGTATAAATATATGATTAAATAAAAAATAATTGTTAAATATACAATTAAATAAAAAATAATTGTCTAAATATACAATTAAATAAATTACATTGAAAACAAAGATAATAAATACTCAAAACTCATCTATATCTACATTTTCCTACTATCTGTGCTCTTAAAGTTACTTAAGTCTGCTGTGCCTGCATGGTGGAAATAGCATAAAATAACTTGCTACTGCACCTTCCTTGGCATCACTGATGTTAGATTGGTATCTGGAAATTGGCCATATTTGGAGTAAACTATAGAGATTGGTAAATACTATGAATCAAGGCCTTCTCTTCCCTCCTAAAAGCCAGCAGTTAAACATTTATCACCACATCTTATCCAAGACACATCTGGATAAATGAATCTAAGCTCAGGAGACAAATTCGGGCTGGAGATACTACAGTGGGAGGCATCGACTTGATGCGGGGAGCTTCATGGGCTGGCGACGGGGTCCCATATCAAGAAAGACCCCATGATTGGTTTAATGCTCTGCTGTTGCTATCATCAAATTCTTAATTTTTGAATAAGAGGCCACACATTTTCATTTTACACTGGGTTAATATAGATGATAGGAATTTTAGGCTGTTTGGGGAGGGGGTTACTTAATTGCCTTCCATTCTACATAACAAGTATTTTATCTTACTCACCTATGTGGTAGCACATTTTCACAGATACTTTCCCCATCCATCCCTCAACCTGTGTATTCTCCACAACCAGCTCACAAAATTTCCCTTGTCTATTTCCTCCGTGTATTGTTCTCTTTGGTCTTCTTTTGAAACTTGTTAACTTTTTTTTTTTAACTTTTATTGTAGGTTCGGGGTACCTGTGCAGGTTTGTTATATAGGCAACCCGTGTCACGGGGGTTTGTTATACAGATTATTTCATCGCCCAGGTACTAAGCCTAGCACTCAATAATTATTTTTTCTGCTCCTCTCCCTCCTTCCATGCTCCACCCTCAACTAGGCCCCAGTGTCTGTTGTTCCCTTCTTTGTGTCCGTGAGTTTTCCGCATTTAGCTCCTACTTATATGAGAACACACGGGTGTTTGGTTTTTTGTTCCTGCGTTTGAAACCTGTTAACTTTCAAACATTAATGTATTACATGGCTTTAATAAAAGTGTTTCTTCAGAACAGAAATCTCGAAGGGAAAGAAATGTTTCTCTCCAGATTGCAAAGTCCCACACATTCGTCTTTCACAGTGGTACGACAGTGGTTACGGAGCTTGTGGAATAAGACAGAACTGGGTTTGAACTCTCTCCCTCTCTCTTTCGTTTTCTAATCCTTAGAACCTGCGAATGGGTTTGAACTCCTGTGTGTGACCCGAGGTAAATTTCTTTGATTTCTCTACCCTTCCGTTTCCTCATCTGAGGAAAGAATAATGTTTACCTCTGAAGGTTATTGTGAATATTAAATTAGATAACCTACATAAAGTGCCTTACATAATACCTGGTCCATGGTTATAGTGTTCAATTAATGGCAGTTATTCTTTTTATTCATACATGACGAGTTAGGAACACCCAGTAATTTGGACCTGACACATGGTACAAAAGTCTTAGGAGGAATGATGGACACTGGCAGAGATGAGCTGCAAGATTTCGACTCTTTAAACATTTTCCTGGTGCCACAATATGTATGTCCCAGACTGGACTGGACAAAGCGACTCTTTACTGGGGCTCTTACTATTCTCACAACTCCTCTCCCTTGTTATTCCTCAGACAGAGCTAAAAATCTACACAAATAGCACAGATGTGGGCTCTTGGACAGCTAGTCAGACATTTAGCCTTCTTGCGGCAGTGAAAAATCCTTTCCCTGGCGTAAAGCTTGGCACAGCGTAGGCAATCAAAATTTTTATTTTTATTTTTATGGCATATGAAAATTTATTACGCCGGGCGCGGTGGCTCAAGCCTGTAATCCCAGCACTTTGGGAGGCCGAGACGGGCGGATCACGAGGTCAGGAGATCGAGACCATCCTGGCTGACACGGTGAAACACCGTCTCTACTAAAAAAATACGAAAAACTAGCCGGGCGCGGTGGCGGGCGCCTGTAGTCCCAACTACTCGGGAGGCTGAGGCAGGAGAATGGCGTGAACCCGGGAGGCGGAGCTTGCAGTGAGCTGAGATCCGGCCACTGCACTCCAGCCTGGGCGGCAGAGCGAGACTCCGTCTCAAAAAAAAAAAAAAAAAAAAAAAGAAAATTTATTACTACAGTGTGTTCACCATTAAAATTTATTATCTTGGTCTTTCCTTCTTGCCTTTGTATAGGGCCAGAAGAGACACATTGGCCACTTTGACAATCTTAAAGCGGACTCCAGGAATATCACCAACAGCATGACCTTTGCGACCAAATCCAGCAACCAGAACTTCATCGTTTTCCTCAATAAAGTTCAGGCAAACGTCGTTGGGTACAAAGGCTGTGATTTTCTTGCCATTCTTGATCAGCTGGACCCTGACACACTTCCTAATGGCAGAATTTGGCTGTTTGGCTTCAACTCCTACTTTTTCCAGGACGATTCCTTTTGCATGAGAAGCACCTCCAAAAGGGCTGGCTTTCAGGGCTGTGCCCAAATGGGGGCGGCACTCAAAATTTTGTAGGTTTTCTTCTTCACCGCCATGGCCCCAACTAGTACAGGGCCTGGCACACAGCAGGCGTCCATTTATTGAATGAGCGCATGATAATGTCACCTGTTTCTCCCTCTTCTTCCAAATCCCTGTTCTTCCGCCTCTGCCCGAGGCAGCCAGCATATCCCAGGGAGCCAGGCTCAAGCCAGGCCTGGTTCACCGACTCGCTCCCCGCGCTAGGCTGCGGTTGCTATGGAAACAGCGGGAAATAACAACTCCGTTCCCCCTGGGGTGAGGGAGGCCCGCTGAGGTGACAGCAGCTGGAGGAACAGCGTGAGCGACGCGAGGCCGCCGCAGAGTTCACCACTGTGCCACAGCCCCGCCCCAGCGCGGCCGGCGCCCGAACTCCCCTCCTCTCTCTAGCAGGCGAGCGTAGGTAGGTACTACCGCAGAGGGCATCTCCCCGGCCCGCCTCCCCAACCAGGGCCCCGCTTGCGCGATGCCTGCTGTGTTCACATGATGCGCACCCGCGCTTCGCCGCCAGGCGGCGCTGACCATTGGGGAGGGGGTTAGGGGTCCTAGACGCGCGAGTCTTCCCTCTATTTCTCATTCATTCATTCATTCATTCACTTACATTTATTTTTCCCTTCCTTCCTTCCCTCTGTCCTTCTGGGATGAGCTATTGCTGTGTTGCTCAGGTTGATCTCAAACTCCCGGGCTCAAGTGAGCCTCTTGCCTCAGTTTCCCAAAATGCTGGGATTACAGGCATGAGTCACCGTACCCGGACACAGTCTCTTGCTCGCTCTCTCTCTCTCTCTCTCTCTCTCTCTCTCTCTCTCTTTCTCTCTCCTTTTTCAGACGGGGTCTTGCTGTGTCGCCCAGGCTGGAGTGCAGTGGCAAAATCATAGGTTACTGCAGCCTCGACCTCCTGGGCTCAAGTGATCCTCCCGCCTCAGCCTCCGAGATGGCTGGGTCCACAGGCCCACACCATGCCCACCTACTTTTTTTTTTTTTTTTTTAAATTATAGAGACTGGGTCAGGCTGGTCTCAAACTCCTTGCCTCAAGCGATCACAGACGCATCATAGAGACGGGGGTTTCCCTGTGTTTCCCAGGCTGGTCTAGAACTCCTGGTCTTAGGCAATCCTCCCGCCTCAGCCCCTCAAAGTACTGGAATTTGCAGGAGTAAGCCACCGCGCCTGGCTTTGCACATTTATCTTCCAGCAAAGAAAAACCTGGGCAACTACAGCCAGGAACTTAATTGCTTTAATTTGGGAGAAAGCAGGAGATTGAGGGGTAAGGGTGCAAGAAGAGAGAAAAGAAAAATTAGGCTGTTTGGAAAGGGTAGCACAGATATGAGAAATTGGGTTTCACCATATTAGAGAGAGTGTGTGTGTGTGTGTGTGTGTGTGTGTGTCTCCTCCTCTCTCCTTCCCTCACTCGGCGTGCCTGCTCCAAGCCCCCGCGCGGTTCCTGCTCTGCTCCGAGGAGGTCCACCTTCATTGCCGGTAGCTGGTGAACCAGGTGTGGTGCGCGCACTGCGGGCCCTGATTGGTTGTGCACGCCACGGTGAAAAACTTGAACGTCTACTCCGAGTCCTGCAGCTCCTAGTGTCTCCGCGGGGTGGACGCCAGACGCACGGCCGTTACTTCTCTTTACCTGTGGATTCGTCAGTTTCTCGTTCGTTTCAGGAGGCGATCCCGCGCCCTGGGTGCTGTGAGGCCTCTGGGGAAGCGGAGGTGCCTCCCGGCGCGGAGCAGCCAGCTGAGGCTGTGGCCAGCGGGGAAGATGAGCGGCAGCAGCGCCAGGTCCAGCCACCTGTCTCAGCCCGTCGTGAAGAGCGTGCTTGTGTACCGCAACGGGGACCCCTTCTTTGCGGGGCGCCGCGTCGTCATCCATGAGAAGAAGGTGTCCAGCTTCGACGTCTTCCTGAAGGAGGTGACCGGCGGCGTTCAGGCACCCTTTGGGGCCGTCAGGAACATCTACACCCCGCGGACTGGCCACCGCATCCGGAAGCTAGACCAGATCCAGAGCGGGGGCAACTACGTGGCTGGAGGCCAGGAAGCCTTCAAGAAACTCAAGTGAGTCGGTTTTCCCCACCGCCCACCCATTTCAGGTGCCCTGTCGTGCGGGCTTGACATGAGGAAATGCAGATCTTTACCCCCCCACACCTCAGTGGTTGAGGGGCTGTGACTTCTCGGTGTGACTGATGCCACTCAAAACTCTCGTTGCAGTTGGGGGGCAGAGATTGACACTGTGACTGGAGAAGGAATTTCACTTGGGTAACAGTAGGAGTAAACTTAAAATTTGTGTATAAACAACAGGAATCTTAAAAAAAAATTATCCTTGCAAAGGTTAGTGACCAAACTGATACTTTTGCGTTTTCTGTTCAGTTTTTTCTTTCCTTTTCCTTATTTTTTTTCTTGGAACTCCATCCTTTTAATTTAAATAAACATTCTTAAAAATCACTTCCAAGTGTTGGACACTATATTGTCACCAGAGGAGAAAATTGCTCTGCATTTCCCATACTGTTTAAATTATTTCAACCCTTCATTCCAAGTAGAATTGACACCACTTACTTTTGTGACCCTGCTCCACCCCCTGCATGTTTATGCTGTTAGCCTAATGCAGGAAGAGTTTACCGGCTAACTGTATTTGTTGACTGTCTGTCTCCAGCAATGGTCCTTATTCCCAGGGGTCCTTATTCCCAGCTCTTGAGTTCACTCATAGTAAGTGTTCAGTGAATTAAGAAACCCTCAATTCAGGGAACAAAGACGAGCAAGGCATGATTCCTTGTCTTTAGGAGCTTTCAATCTAACTGGACTACCTTCATACTAACAATTTTAATGCAAGGTACAAAGAGATACGTGCAATTAGAAAAATAAGGTTATATGTGAATTGTGAGTTGAGAGTTGGTTGGGGTGGGCATTATAGGACAGGTAGAATTTTACATTCCATTTTTTTTTATAGCTTTATTGAGATAGAGTTATCACAGCATAAAATCCAACCATTTCATTGGCTTTCAGCGTATTCAGAGTTGTGCAACCATCACCACCAACTAATTGTAGTTTATTTCCAGCCCTCCCGCCAAAACATTTGTACCTCCCAGGTTCCTCTTTCCCCTGTCATCTGGTAGCCACTAATCTATTTTCTGAATCTATGGATTTGTCTATTCTGGACATATCATATAAATGGAATCATATTATATATGGTCTTTATGTCTGGCTTATTTCACTTAACTGTAATATTTTCAAGGTTCATCCATGTTGTAGCATGCATCAGTACTTCATTCTTTTTATTGTTGAATCATGATTTGGGTATACTACCTTTTACATCCATGCTTATCCATTAATCACTTGATGTATATTTGGACTGTTTTACATTTTAGCTATTATGAATAATGCATCTATGAATATTTGTGTACAAGTTATCATTTCTCTTTGGTGTATACCTAAGAATGAAATTGCTGGATCATATGGTAACTCTGTATTCCATAGTTTAATAGAACATTTTAATTGAAATTCATCTTGGGCCCCAGGATAGCAAAAAGCCTTGACCATAAATCTAAGCTTATGAATTCATAAGCATTATTGGATTCTTAATAATTAAAATTCAAATAAAGATTTTTAACTACATAGAAATATTTTTCAAAATATCACTAAAGTTCTTGAATGTAATCCATCCTCACCTATATTTGTTTAAATTGAGTTCTAGGTATTCTGTTATACTTTTTGTTATGTCAGACATTCTTTTCATGGAAAGTGAGGGATATATTTGGATTTACTCCCCCCTCCCCAAGCTTCTTAAGCATGCTTTGTTAAACTTCATAAAAAAGGGCTAAATGAAACTGCATGCTTAAAATAAACTTAAAATCAGGAGACTGAAGATTTAGTTGCTGATCAACTCTGTGTCCTTGGACAAGTCACTTGACTCAGCTAGTCAGTTTTTTAACACAGAAAAGGTACATAACCATTTGTACTACACAGGGCTGTGATAAAAGTAAATGCTATAGATGAGTGTGTTTTGTAAACACCAAGTTTTACATAAATGTAAGACACCTCTATGACCAGTTCCTTTTGTTACATACTTTATTTTTTATTAAATATTTCCATATAAAGCAATTTCATGGAAATGAAAATCTGGTTCAGAATCTCTGAACGGTTGAAAGTTGTAGACTCACTTTTATAATTCATGTTCTTTTGTTTATTTGGTCCTACCAACTCACAAGATTTAAAAAAAAAAAGATACAGTTCCACACCAAATAGAAAGTGTACTCAAATCTCTCTAAGAGATTTGCATGTTATTTTTGCTTTTAGTTTATACATAAGAAACTGAATTTGTTATAACAGTGTCCATGGTTAGGTTTCCATGCTGACAGATGACTATTTTATTTGTGTTAAAGAAGTAGTATCTATGATTATAATGATAGAAGCCAAGAATACTTGAATGTTGAATGTATTTGAAACTTAGCACTTGTAAGTTTATGTAATGAATGGAGAAACTGTCAGAACAAAAGAAAGCCCAAATGATGTTAAGGACAATTCGTGGGCTTTCATTTAAACCCCAAATGATGTTGGGAAAGACAGTAACATCTTTTTCAAGTGGAACTGATCAAATCTCTGCTTGAATTGCTTTCACTTAGATTTTTCTAATATTTTTGAAACGATAACTAAAGGTCAGGTAGCTCTTAAACCCTTATTTATTTCAAATGTGAGACCACACATTCAAAACCTTTATTTTATAGCAGAGAATTCTAGAGATTATTTTCCTCAAAACTTTCCTAGTGCCTTGTTGGAAGTTGACTCTACAGCCTTAATCTTGTAGATCTGAAACCACTTTCCTGCACATGACAGAATATTTTGGTATTATTTCAAAACTCCGTCGCTGCAGTTCCACAAAAGACCCATTTTGTTGCTGAGATGGAGTGTTTGCACTGTTTTAAAATATATGACTACTTTTATATAGGGGCAATGTATGACAATTTCTGGATGTATCAATTAACTAAAGTATTTTATCCAAAAAGGCA